CTCACTTGATACAACTAAACAATATTATAATATTTCTATAGCAGATACTAGATAACTAAAAGAAATACTGAATGCGTCTCTTTTAGTATTTATTTATCGTAGCTTCATAAATCTTACTTTAATCAGTTTCGAGCTACTTCATCTACACATAATATGTTGCTCTTTCCACTATCACATGGATTACTCATCACTTTTGAAGAGCAGTCGCACTTGGACCAGCCCTGGCGTAATCCTAGCTCAGCTGCAGTCAGCTTGACCTTAAGAGCGATAAGTTTGAAATGCCATTACCTACTCTCTCGCTGAGGCCAATCTATTGTTCCACTGTGCAGCAGCGCAGTCGAGAGACCCGCACGGAGTCGACTTGAAGTACTTAAGGTACTTTGGCCGTGCCGCTGCACGCATGCGCACCATAACTCAAACACATGAGCCAGCAGACAGCAGACAGAGCGGACGGAGCCGACAGACTCGACTTTAGGCTTTTCAATTTTCACTCGACTGCACTTGGAAATGTGACCCAGCAGCGTCGGCGGCGTTGGCCCCTTGACGCATGCCTCAGTGCGCAGTGTGGCATTTTTCTACAGCCATTTTTTGCTGTTGTTATTTTGTATACATTTTTTTTTGTGGGTTCCTCTTTGCCTAATTTATGAAATCTGAAAATCTAGAGTTTGGTAGTTCAAGCACGTACCACGCACGAAGTAGCAAGCACTCGGCACAGAAATGGGCATAGAAATTCTTTTCGAATGCCAACAAATGCCCAAATCGCTATCACTCCACTCTATCAGCACACACACAGACACATGCTCACACTTTGGGTTTTTCCTTAAAAGCTCTTCGTTTTATGCATATTAGGCAGAAGGACCTCTTTGGCAGGACATAACATTAACACGTCGCGCCAGCATAAAACTCATTAAATGCCATCGAATTGGCCAGCAACAGTGGCAGCCACAGCAGCCACAGCTGCCACTCAGTCGCATCATTTGGCAAGCAACTTGCAACATGCAACACACAACATGCGACATGCGACATGCGACATGCGACATGCGACATTTGCCTCCTGGCTGTTAGCGGACGTGCCAATCGACAATATGCTAATGCCGTCATTGAAATGCTCCACCCAAATCGCTTCACACATTCAAACTTACCCAATATCAGCTGGGCAGCCCTGGCCCCCACACTCCTTTTGCCCCAGACTTGTTAATCGTCGCAGACAGACTCGTCTGTCATACACGAGCGATGGAACACGGAAAACTCATCCCCGTCAATGTCCTTCCCCCTGCAT